CTGCTGATGTGCCCGAGGGTTCTCATCCAGGGAAAGGAAGGACAGATGCTTCGAAACCTGGATGGTCAGACCACTGCACTACACGCTGCAGGTACAAACAGAGCTGTGCGGGGCAGGGAGATGGCGCTGACGACACAGCCCTTCCCCTTCTCACACACCCCACTCAAAATGGCAACGTCTCCTCAGTCTGTCTCTCCCCACGGCTAAGTCGCTGGCTTGGGCTCAACAGGGAAAGCAGACCGGAGGCAGAATGAAACTATGCATCGCATCGTTATGTTAGCAGGAGCCCAGCTCCTAATGACGGCAGTCAGGGCAGCGGAGGAGGCCTGGTGGCTGGCCTGGAACACGGCACAGCTCTCCACCTGAACCACAGCGTCAGCTGAGAGCCGGGATCGCGTCTCCAGCAGGTAACACAAGTGGCCGCAGAAACCTTAGCCCCCTCTTTATCTCTAGTACTTGCAGCAGGATAGAAAGTCACCTGGCGTGTATCCATAAAGCGGTCTTAAACTCTTCCGCTACTGTGAACAGGACTTATCCGTCTCTGGCCCCTGGTGGCAATTAAGCATTTTCAGGGAAAGTGAGTGGCTGTGCATCTGAAGAGGTCTGTGACCGCAGACCCCTCGAAGTGCAGACACAGCGGGAAATGGGACTGACTTCTCACGGGTCTGGGTCACTGGCTCTCCCCACCTCTATGCTGGTTTCTGGAGGGCTCACAACACGTTCTGGAACCGAATTCCCGCTGAGGGTCTCTGCAGCCTGCTCCCCGTGGCTGCCGTAGCCTCTGCTTCCCTCTGTTCTCTCGCAAACAGGGGCCCCTGAGCAGAGGGAGGAAGCACCTGGTCTCCCTGAGGGCCTGGACGCGGAGGGCGAGGGGCGCCCCTCAGAGCAGGGGCACTTGCCGGGCGTGACCGCCCTCCCCCGAAAGGCAATGCAGGTCCTAGGGGGCACGGGACATGCGAACACACAGACACAGGCGTTCTCGATCAGCCCCTTTATTTCTGGACTGTTGCCAAGGCCACTTTGGGTCGCAGGTGCCTCACGGAGTACCGGGGAAAGCGGCCCGGCAGGACCCAGCGGGGCTGCCCGCGGCCACCGCCTCCTCACGGGCAGCTGAGCCGGCCGCAGAACAGAAGCCCGCGGGTCTTGCTGTGCTGGATAAAGAAGAGAAAAGGGTGGTCGGCACAGAACCTGGGGGTGATCCTGGCGCAGCGCAGCATCAGGACTGCAGCGGCGGCGGCAGCCGCCTCCGTGCCCTGCTCGTCGACCTCCACAAAGGCCTTGTGCACGACCCGGGACAGGCACAGGTCCCTCCGGGCCGACATCGCGGAGAAGTCGGCCCTGGTGCTCTCGAAGGCGTCGGTGATGCCCAGGGCGCGGAGCATGCCCTCCAGGTCGTAGCTCTCCCGCAGCTTAAACCTGGGCAGGGACACCTCCACCTCCTCCTCGTCCAGCAGGTCTGGCCTCGTCCACTCGACGAATTTCTCATAAGTGAGTTCCTTTTCCACCTAGAAGAGGTGAGTAGAAGGGCTTCGGGTCCAGAGCAACGCTGCCCAGTGGGACCGTCTGCCGTGGCCCGCACGCGCCGTGCTGTGGGCTCGAGGGGGCGGCCGGGGCAGTTGTGCCGGCTGCATAAAGGGTTCCCGCTGGGAGGCGGGGAGCCTGCCGGGCGGGGATTCAGACGGGACCCCCTACCCCCCACGGCGCGATTACCGCTCAGTTACCGTTTTCAAATCAGTGTTTTCATCCGGAAGCATGATGATCATATTGAGCTCGCTGCCGACATAGGGAAGCACGAGAATCTTCGTGAATATCTCTTCGATGTAGGTCATCTTAAAGGTGGATTTCTTGAACATCATTTGCACAGGCTTCTCCACATTCTGTAAAGGAATGGATAAACAAGAAGGTGAAACAAGACACTGGACGAGTCAGCAGAGCCGCAGCCACTCTGGGCCCCAGAAACACTTTGTTGGCTTCCAAACACCACACCAGTCCCCTCCCTTTTGCCAGCTCACCTTCACTGCTTCCGCCTCCAAACCCTGGGGCACCCAGGGCTCAGGCCTCGCGCTGCTTTTCTGCCGGTGATCTCAGTCCCGTGACTTTAAACAGAATTCCCACATTTATATTCCTGGCCGGGACCTCCCCCCGCATACTCCAGAGGCATATATTTTACTGCCTACTCAACACGTGCATCTGGACATAACAGAAACCTCCAGTGTCACCTCTCACGCTGGTTCCTCGTGTTCCCCCCCACGGCTGCTCCATCTATAATTTTCCCCATCTCAGCTGATGGCAACACCATTCATCCCAGGGTCAAAAACCCTGGAGTGTCCTTGACCCCCGTCCTTCACACCTCACATCTGACTCATTACAAACCACGCTGGCTCCACTTTTTTTTTTTTTTTTTT